TTGATTCGATGTTGGGTTTTGACGGGGAAATGCTCTTAAATAATGAGGTTCGTGAGCGTCTTTGCGAACATGCCTGCGGGGGACAGAGGAGGCTGGCACCGGCCCAGGGGGACCCCACCGGCTCAGCCCCGGGCGGCACTCACTCTCGCGGGAGCACAGCTCCACGGCCAGCACGGCCGGCCCCTGGAGCTCCTTCCCCGCACGCTGGTCCCGGCTGATGGCCCCGTTCAGCTCCCGCTGCAGGTCACCCAGGTGCTCGGGCCCAAAACCTGGGGGTGGGAGGGCTGGTCAGGAACGCAGGGGCCACCAGGTGGTCAGGAGTAAGAGGGGTCTTCTGGGCCGGGGCCACTCACCCGGGGGCGCTGGGGTGTAGAAATAGGGGGCGAAGCTCGTGGATGTGGCAGCAGACGGAGATGCCCTCATCAGTGACCCCGAAAGCGCGGAGCACAGGCACGGAGCTGGGGGATGGCGCAGGCGCCCCAGGCAGGGGCCGTGCTGGGCCTGGGGAGGTGACAGGTAAGGCAGGTGCCCCTCACATTCCTCAAAGGGCCCCCCCGGCCCCTCCCGCACTGGGAGCACAGCCCCCATTCCTGCAGCTTGAAGCCCTTCCGCCCACATCGGCTTCTCATGGGTCGTCTCAGCCCTTCTGTTTCCACCTGCCCCTGCGGTCCATTTCCCACCCACAGCTAGAGGGAGCCCCCTTTATGAAAAAAAAAAAAAAAAATCTTGAAAAAGGAAAATGGACTTGGTGTGTTGTTATGAACTTGAACACGGGTGTAGGTTCGTGCAATCACCACCAAAATTGGGGATCGACCTGCAACCCCTGCAACTGAGGTACATGCCCTTGACTGGAATCGAACCCGGGACCCTTCAGTCCTCAGTCCGATGCTCTATCCACTGAGCCAAACTGGCTAGCTGTCATTTTAAATAGCTCCCCTGAGCTGCCCCTTTGCAGTCATAGCCCCCTCCCCACCCCAGCCCCTGGCACATGCACCCCGACCCCCTCGCCAGCTTCCTCACTGCCCAGCCTGGGCAGCCCCAGCCCTGTCCCTCCCGCACACAGCCCTGGTCTCCTGGGTCAGCTCCTCCCACACTGAGCCAGAGGGGCTGACCGGGGCCCTGCTCCCCGCAGGAGCCCAGGGCCCCACCGACCACCCTCCGGGCCTGTCCCCAAACTCACCCACATAATGGTCGATCTCCAACTGCTGGAAGATGAGGGGTTCTGTCTGGGGGTCGAGGGGGGGTGGGGAGGGCCGAAGCCAGCGGGCATCTCTGGCTGTCGGGGAGAAGTGCCCTGGGGGGAGGGGGGGGTGGGATGACATGACGCTAAGTGGAGTCGGGATCCTCCCTCAGACATAAGTACCCGCCCTCCCTCCCAGCCCGGCCCAGGCGGCTTCCCAAAATGCAAAAGGAAAGTCCAGGTGAAGGTGGTGGGCTTAGATCAGGCAGGGAAACTCGGAAGAGATTGCCAAGCCGAGGGGTCAAGGTCAGAGTAAAAGCAGCAGGCAACAGAGGGGGCATACTGGCATGGGGTCAAAGGCCAGCCCGATGTGGAGCTCAAAGTGGGCCAGAGGTCAGAGGTTACAGGTCAGCTCTGTGGCTGACTCTCAGTTCAGAGGCAAGAAGGGTAGGGGGGCGGGGGGGCTCCCACTCCAGGTCTCACGGTCGGCAGCCCCCTCCTGGGCCGACTGCAGCTCCTCCTCCAGCTCCTGCAGCCTGCGCTCGGCCTCCATCTCCTCCATCAGCGCCAGCTCCTCCTCAAACTGGGATGGCCGAGGGGCCTCATCCTCATCCCAGAGGCCCCCGCGGGCCCGCTTCGGGGGCACCCCGGCCCCGGCCCCCGGGCCCGGCCGCCGCTTGTCATACATCCTGGGGGCCAGTGGGGGCTGGGTGAGGGCTCCTGTCCTCCCCACGGCCTCCCGCGGCTGAGCCTCAGTGCTCTGCAGGCCTCCGAAGGCCTCCACCTGGGAGCTGGCGCATCCCCGACGCTGCCACCATCAGTGTAACTACGCCCACTCCCACCCGTCTAACCCTTTCCTCGCAGGCCCGAGCCCTCCACATCCTTTCACCAGTTCACCTGCCCCCTGCAGACCGGATGTCACGGCCCCGCACGCCCTGCCCCCCTCTCCGGCACAGCCTTGGTCCTTAGCTCACCCCTTTCTTTCCTACCAGCTGCCCCCGAGACCCCGCCTACCCATCACCCAGCATCACCCACGGGCCAGGCCTCTGTTCACCAGTGGCTGGGAAGTGCCCCCTGTAGGCCAGTAAGAGAATAGTCTAAGGAAACACACACTCAGGTATTCAGGGGTAAATGGCCATGATGTATACAAGCTACTCTGAAAGTTTTTAAAGTGTGCATGCAAATCATAACACAAACAGGTGAAGCTGGGTGAAGGGTGAACAAGTGTTCTTTGTCGTGTACCTTCCTACACATTTGAAATTATTAAAAAAGAAAAAGTTGTAGCCCTAGCCGGTGTGGCTCAGTGGATAGTGCTGGCCCGTGCACAGAAGGGTTAGCAGATCCATTCCCAGTCAAGGGCACGTACCTGAGCTGCAGCTTCGATCCCCCAGCCCCCGTCGGGGCATGTGCCAGTGGCAACCAATCAACGTGTCTTTCTCACATAAATGTTTCTCTCTCTCCCTCTCTTTCACTGTCTCTAAAAATCAATGGGAAAATATCCTTGAGTGAGGATTAGTATGAAAGGAAAAAGGGAAGGAAGGGAGGGAGGGAGGGGGGGAGAGAGAGAAAGAAATGAGGAATTGTAAAACAGTACGTCTCCCATGGCTGAGACCGAGGATTACAGAACCCTACAGCAGATCCCAGACCCAGACGGGAGGGAGGAGGGGGTTCGGGACAAATCAGCTGTCCCAGGTTCAAGGGAACACCTCTGGATCCCATAACTATCCCCCCAGATCCTCAAGACTACATTTCCCAGGATGCACTGCTAGGCGGTGGTCACAGGATCAAGTTCTAGCTCATGGACTTAGGGTGACTGTAAGGAGTGCGACGTTCAGGACAGTCCGAAGAGGAAGCCTGCCCTCCATCCTCTTCCAGACGGCCGGAGCGTGAATGTGATGGCCACGAGCCAACCTTGACCACCAGGACAAGGCCAACATTGCAGGGCACACAGAGCGACAAGACGGAAGGAACCTGGGCCCTCAACAGCCTTCTGGAGCACAGCTGCCTACCTTTGGATAGTTATGTGGCTACACAGATTGGTATCATGTCTGGGCCACTGTGCTTTGGAACCTCTTTGTTACGGAGTTTAGCCTAGACCAGCGGTTCTCAACCTGTGGGTCGCGACCCCTTTGGCGGTCGAACGACCCTTTCACAGGGGTCGCCTAAGACCGTCCTGCATATCAGATATTTACATGACGATTCATAACAGTAGCAACATGACAGTTATGAAGCAGCAACGAAAATACTTTTATGGTTGGATCACAACATGAGGAACTGTATTTAAAGGGCCAGAAGGTTGAGAACCACTGGCCTAGACCATGACATCACAGAAAAATTCTGGACCGGGGTGTGTTACAGCAAATGTCGGTCCACAATGGGATTATCTCTCAGCATTAAAAAGGAGGCAGCTGCCCTGACCGGTTTGGCTCAGTGGATGGAGCGTCGGCCTTCGGACTGGAGGGTCCCAGGTTCGATTCTGGTCAGGGGCATGTGCCTTGGTTGCGGGCACGTCACCAGTGGGGGGGGTGCGGGAGGCGGCTGATCGATGTTTCTCTCTCATCGATGTTTCTCTCTCATCGATGTTTCTAGCTCTCTGTCCCTCTCCCTTCCTCTCTATGGAGAAATCAATAAAATATATATATATATATATAAAAGGAGGCAGCTACTGATATACACACAGGATGGACGTATCTCAAACATGTGTAAGAGAAGCCAGACACATGAGTGCATATGGGGAAGGTGGGAGTGACTGCAAATGGGGAAGGGGAATGTTCTTCCATTCTGGGCTAATGGGAATGTTCTAGAACTAGAGAGGTGGTGGCTGCACAAAACTGTGAATGTCCTAAATGCCACTGGCTGTGCGCTTTAAGATAGTTAATTTCACCTCAATTTTCTTTCCTTTTTGTTAATCTTCACCTGAGGATATTTCTTCCATTGCTCTTCAGAGAAAGGAGGGAGGGAGGGAGAGAGAAACATTGATGCGAGAGAGACACATCGACTGGTGCCTTCCACACGCTCCCTGATTGGGGTGGGGAGCAAACCCCAACCCAGGTACGTGTCTGTGACCAGATATCAAGCCTGGGACCCTTTAGTGCACAGGCTGACACTCCACATCATTTTTTAAAAACCGAGTATATATTGTATGACGGCATTACACAGAGTTCTAGAATTGACTGACCTCTGATGCTAGAGACCAGGCTAGCGGCTGCTTCTGGTGGGAGAGACTGACTGGGGAGGGGCATGGGGGAATTTTCTGGGGTGACAGCAACATACTGTACATCCAACTGTACGCTCGAGACCGTGCGTGCCACTTTATGCAAATCAGACCTCAATTAAAAACATAAAAGGGGGGCGGCCATAACCCCACATCCAGGGGTTTATGCTGCAGATAGACTATCGCACGATGAAAAACTGCATTTACGAGGTTATTTCCGGCGGCATTGTTTGCCATCTCAAAAGCCTGGAAACCACCTAAATGTTCTCCCCTGGGGGACTGTTTGAATAAATCCCATTAATTCCGCCCGGTGGAATATTACGCAGCTGGATAAAGGAATGAGGAAGCGCTCTGTGTGCTGACCTGGAGGGCTCTCAAAGACCCATTGTTAGGGAGCGAAAGCAAGGTACGGAAGGGTGGACTTAGAGTGTTATCTTTTGGACTCAAAAAGTTGTTTAAGAAAATGCGGGACACGGGAAGCTGAGGGGCTGACAGGAGCCCCGAGGAGAGGCCTGGCCTGACCTGGCAGAGAAAGGCACAAGGGGGCTGCCCTGGGTCCACGGGCTGTGGCCAGCGGGGTGTGGCGGGAGGGAAGGTGTCACTAGCAGCAAAGTCGAGGTCCCTATCCCAGGCACCATCCTAAATGCACCCTCAGGAAGGCAGCGTTAGAAGGAAGGAGGCCCCTGTGTGTTCCCTCAGCTGCCCTGGCACCAGACGGGAGCTTGGCAACTCTGTGCTCCCTTCTCGGGCCTTGGGTAGCAGATCCTGAGCAGCGCCCGCGGCAGTAACACAACGCTGAGTGCCCGCTCTGGGTCAGGCGCTGGCTTCTCTGTGACCCGCACTCCCTCGGTGTTCTCACTGCACTTCACCTCATCGCACGGCATTGTGTGTGTGTGTGTGTTTTAATTGCTTTTAGAGATCGAGAAAGGGAGAGGGAGAAAGAGAAGCTTCGATGTAAAAGAGAAACATCCATCGGTTGCCTCTTGTACGCACCCCAACCAGGAATCGAACCTGCAACCTGGGTATGTGCTCTGATGGGAATTGAACCCACAGCCGGATGCTCCAACCAACTGAGCCACACCGGCCAGGGCTAACCTCGCGGCTTTAAATGCCATCTCCATGCCCATCACTCCTGCCTTTGTGTCTCTGGCCCCGACCGCTCCTCGGGCTCCAGGCTGACCGGTCCAGCCGCCCACTGTGAGGACGTCTCTCCGGGCACCTCAGACCCCAAAGCCAGCCCCTGATCTCGCCCCAAACCTGCTCCTTGCACCTCATGGACTGTCTCCCCCTATTCAATAAATGACAGCTCCCATCAGGCCGACAACTGTGGAGTCACCTCAACTTCTCTCATCCCCTCAGACCACGTGCTCACTCTCTCTGCAAATCCCGTCAGCTCTGCCTCCCAAGAGACCTAAGTCCCACAGCTTCTCAGCCCCCAGCTACCGGCCTGGCCCCTCTGTTCTCGAAGACTGCTGCTGGCTTCTTTATTTTGCCCATTGCTGTTGGTCTGTCTCCCCCTGCTGGAAGATGAGCTGTGAGGGCCAGGACCCGTCTGTTTGTTTACTGAAATACGGCAGGAGTCTACTAGTGTCGGACACAGAGAGGGTCCTCGAGAAATACCTGTTGAGCCCTAACCGGTTTGGCTCAGTGGATAGAGCGTCGGCCTGGGGACTAAAGGGTCCCAGGTTCGATTCCGGTCAAGGGCATGTACCTTGGTGGCGGGCACATCCCCAGTAGGGGGTGTGCAGGAGGCAGCTGAATCGATGTTTCTCTCTCATCGATGTTTCTAACTCTCTATCCCTCTCCCTCTCTCTTCCTCTCTGTAAAAAAAATCAATAAAATATTAAAAAAAAAATAAAAAGAAATACCTGTTGAATGAGTAAAGAGCCTTTCCAGGGCTCCCTCATTCCACCCCGCCACCCTCAGTATTCTCCACACGGCAGTCAGCAGGATCCTGTACAAATATGTCAGATCAGCCCATCCCCTCCTCTGCTCAGAGCCCACCCCCGGGGCCCGTCTCATGCTGAGTTAAAGTCCTTATCATGGCTCCCAAGACCCTGCACAATCGCCTCGTTTCCTTTCAGACACCCCCCCCACTCCCCCCCCCCCACTCGGCTCCAGTCACTTGCCTCCTCTCTGCTCCTTACGCGCCAGGCTTAGTCCCTGCCTCAGGACCTTTGCACACGCTGCTCCCGCTGCCCGGCCAAATGTTCTCCCCCAGATGGAGCTATGGCATCCTCCCTCCCCTCCTACCGGTCTTTGTTCAGATGTCACAGTCTCAGTGAGGCCTGTTTAAAAGCGCACCTCCAACCCCTTTCCCTGCTTTATTTTTCTTGCTGCCACTTGTGACTGTCTGGCGCCCTGTATCAGTTCTCCAAGTGCGGCCCCTGGATTAGCAGCCTGAGCTCTGGGTGGGACCTGGTTGCAATGCTAACGGTCGGGCCGCTGCCCGGACCCACTGAATCCGGCCCTCAGGAGTGGGGTCCAGCTCTCAGCACTCAAGTCTGAGAACCACGGCTTGTCAGTCGCACTTCCTGCCTGTCCCCACAGGGAGGACGGGAGGTCTGAGAGCAGGGCCTAGATCTTTTGTTTGCTGCTGTGTCTCATGCATCTCTGGCGAGCGCCTGGGACAGAGGACACGCTCAATAAACAGCTTCTAGAAGAATGAAGGAGGGCACGCATGGAATTGTCACAAAAACTTCTGAGGGAGGTGCTGTTGTCATCCAACACATACAATTACTAGGACCCAGGCCCAGAGAGGGGAAGCTACCTGCCCAAGGCGGCACAGGTAGCTCAGAGGGAAGCCAGGGTCCCAGCCAGGCAGGCAGACTGCGGAGCCTACGGCTAAGCAGCACTCCAGGGTGCCGGCCTCCGGGCGCACCGGGTAAGGTACACAGGTGAACTGCCCTCTGCCCAGCAGGGCAGAGCCCGGGCCTCCCCGCCTCCTGCTGCCCTTGTCATGCCGGGGACCATCGGGCCTGTGTCTCAGACAGGGACCCCTCAGAGGGCAAGGCAGGGCCTGGCGCTCCTCTGAGCTGCCAGCGTCGCCCAGCACAGGGCGTGGCCTTGGGAAGTGTTTGCTGAACGAAACCCTCCTTTTTCTCGGCCACCTCACTCCAGACTGACCCTCTGCCCCCTCGGGGCTCCCACTGAGCCTTGTGCTACTTGTCATTGCACATGTGCACCCCAAGCTGGGAGTGCTTCAGGCTGTGAGCTCCCCCCAAATAGGGTCAGAGTCTCGCTCACGTCGGGGTCCCCAGCACAGGGCCAGTTTAGACTGCTCTCGAGTGTCCCCAACCCTGTGAGTCTTCCCCACCTGAACTGAATTATTACCAGTTCCCTGGTGCCCAGCACAGGACCTGCCACAGAGCAGCTGCCTGGAGGCCTGAAGCAAGGGAAGAGCATTGCAGCAGGAGGGACGGGTGTGGCAAAGGCCCCCCCTCCCCCAGTGGGGAAGGAACCTAAGAGATGGGAGGCCTGGGTGGTGATGTGTAGGAAGGTGGAGGGGGCAGGGAAGGGGAGAGATGTGGCAACAACAGATTCTTGGAGTAGGTGGGGCTGCAAAGCCAGGACACTGACGTCACCCTGCTCTCTCTAAACCCTGCCACTCACCCCATCCCAGTGGTTCTCAACCTTCCTAATGCCGCGACCCTTTAATACAGTTCCTCATGTTGTGGTGACCCCCAACCATAAAATTATTTTCGTTGCGACTTCATAACTGTAATTTTGCTACTGTTATGAATCGTAATGTAAATATCTGATGCGCAGGATGTATTTTCATTGTTCGCGACCCACAGTTGAGGACCGCTGAAAGCTCTGCCTGCAGAGCGACGCCCCCAGACCCCGTTCTCCCTCAGCCTTCTCCATCCAGCCCCGCGTCCTGCTGGCTCAAACCCCAGACAACCTGAGCCTGACAGGTTCCTTCCAGCTGCTTGCCTTCTGGCTGGTCTCCCTCCTTCCCTCCAGCTACCAGTCCATCCGCCCCTGCCCCGCAGACCAGCTTCTCAAATCGCAGGGCGGGGTCACGTGGCTCCAACGCTGAAAACCTCCCACGACGCCCCGCTGAACCCAGAATAAGAGCCAAACCCCCCAGCAAGGTTCACAAGGGCCTACGGCAGCGGTTCTCAACCTGTGGGTCGCGACCATCGGAAAACACATGTAGCATATCAGATATTTACATTACGATTCATAACAGTAGCAACATGACAGTTATGAAGTAGCAACGAAAATAATTTTATGGTTGGGTCACAATATGAGGAACTGTATTTAAAGGGCCAGAGGGTTTAGAACCACTGCCCTACGGGATCTGCTTCCCCACCTCGTCCCCACCCTCACCTGCTCCCTTCCGACCTCAGGGCCTTGGCACATGACGGTCCCTCTGCCCGGGTTTCTCTTTACGTGGCTGACTTCTCTCCAATGCCACTTCCCCCGAGGGGCCATTCCTGCCCACCGCAGCCAAGGCAGCAGGTGCCCTGCTCATGCCCCTTCGGACCAGGCATCAGAGCCTGAAGGCGCTGCTTCACCGTTGCTCCTGACTACGGGCCCGCCGACTGTCCTGTCCTGTCCCGTCCTATCCTCTCACTAGTTCGTGCAGCAGCCCCTGCTTCCGCAACACCGTCGGGCACCGAGCGCTCAGTATTTGGCGAATAAAGTACAACACCAGGCCCCCACGTGCACAACTCAGTCCTCCCCTGCCGCCGGGATCCGGTGGCCCCAAAGACCCTCCGGAAGGCGTGCCTCATCTCGCCCCGGGACCGGGTGCCCAGCGATGTGAGCCCAGCGGCAGGCCAAGGTACCCCCGGCCCCGTCATCTCCCCGCAGGCCCCCGAGCCAAGGGGGTCCCTCCCGCCGCCACGCCCTAGCGACCCCTCACGACCCTCTCTCAGGCCTACGCGCCGGCGCCTCAAGCCCCCTTCCCTGCCAGGCGGGGTCCCCGGCAATCCCCCCTCGTCCCTTTACTCACCCGCTTCAAACAGCGTTTCCCGCCACGGACTACGCCGCCGTGACCCCTGACTTCAGCGCGCGCAGGCCCAGAGCCGCGGCGCGCCGAGCAGGCCACGCCCCCACGCCCAGATAGAGCTAGACCACGCCCACCACGGCACCGGGCCACACCCCCTTCTTCCAAGTAGGGGAAGACCACGCCCCCTCCTTCCAATTGCAGGCAAATTCTCGAAAACACCCGCCCCCTGTTGACTTACGCGGCCCAAAGCCACGCCCCTCCTTGCGGCTGCTTCGCGGGCACGTGAAGGCTGCGCGCGCAGCCACCCTGGGGCACCACCCCCCACCAGCCCCCGGGCGCTGCGCGCGCAACCTCCGCAACCCCTCCCGCCTGCTGCCCGCGGGGGCTTCCGGGGACCAGCTGAGCACCGAGCATCCTGCACCCGCAGCCTGACGTCCGCCCTCCCTGCAGAACCTGCAGAAGCCGGGCTATTCGCGCTCAGGTCCCGGCCTGATCTGTTGTCTCACGGCCTCAAGTTTCCCCATCTGTAAACTAGACCTAGCGTGGGGCGGGCACACCAGTGGGGTGCCCCGCTCACCACTTGTAACTACTCTCATCTCCCCCGTCCTACAAACCACATAACCTTTCAGTAACCAGCCCATCTCTCGAAGCAAAACCCCCTTCACCCTCAACCAGTGCTGTCCATCCGGCTAAGACAGTGGTTCTCAACCTTGGCTGCACATGAGAATCACCTGGGAATCTTTTTAAAATCCTGATTTCTGGGCCTCGTCCTCCGGAAATTCTGTTTCTTGTTACTAATGTTGTGGCCCCACCCCATCACAAAGAAACAGAATTTCCAGAGGATGAGGCCCAGAAATCAGGATTTTAAAGATTCCCAGGTGATTCTAACGTGCAGCCAAGGTTGAGAACCACTGGGCTAAGAGAACTCCTCGGTGCCCCTCCCTGTTCTGAACTCACCAGGGCCTCTCACCTTCCACACCCGGCATCTGCCCTGCAACGTGGGGGCCCAGGCTCCGTGCTCTTAAGGTTTAGGTCCCGGCTAGGACGTGATCTTTGTGAAGCCTTGCCTTTCTCCTCCGGCCCCCGCCTCCCGCCTGCTGCCCCCATTCCCTTGCATCCTAGCTGTCCCCATGCACTCCCCCGCTGCCACCTCTGAGGGACTCTGTCTTGTCTGCTGGTTTCCGGTGCCTAACATCGTGTTTGGCACATGGGAAACGCTCCATACATACTAGAAGGAATGGCATGTGTTCCCAGAACGGACACGGGTGGCTTCAGCAAGGACTTGTCGACTGAGGGAACGTCCCAGTCCCCTCATCCACGTAAATTCTTTCATGAGCTGCCTCCAACTTGCCTTACACAGGGGGGTGACCCTGAGGCCATCAGAGGCCTCTCCTGAACCCGCCAGTGCCTGATCACTGCGAACACCCCTCCCACCCGCCTGGCAACCATCTAAAGCAGTGGTTCTCAACCTTCTGGCCCTTTCAATACAGTTCCTCATGTTGTGACCCAACCATAAAATTATTTTCGTTGCTACTTCATGACCGTAATGTTGCTACTGTGATGAATCGTCATGTAAATATCTGATGTGCAGGATGGTCTTAGGCGACCCCTGTGAAAGGGTCGTTCGACCGCCAAAGGGGTCGCGACCCACCGGTTGAGAACCGCTGGTCTAAAGGGCCAGTGTGGGGGAAGACCCTGGCGGCCCATCCCCAGCCCACCTCACACTCACTCTGGCTCAGAGCAGGTTTCTATTCATATTTTATTTTCCCATTTTTTTGTGTGGTTTTTCTTTCAGTTTTTATTAAATAAAAGCAGAAGGAGAGGGACCTGCGTCTCTCAGGCTGTGGCAGAGAGCCGGGGCCTCCCTCCCTCTGTTCAAGGTGCACTGCGCAGTGGGCTTGAATGTAGCTGGGCGGGGAGAG